TGTGCATTGATGTCTAAGCCAGACAGCCGGTGTTCGTTGGAGAGGGTAGTCAACGCCCTTCGCGAGGCTGTTCGCTCCTAAAGCTCTGTGTGACTATCTTCCGGATTTATCGCTTGGTTTCTTTCTGAGATTTTGTGCCGCTGAGGTTTATTCAAGGTCAGTGTCTCATCTTGCAGTTCACGTAGGGGCCATCTGTGCTAACGTGATGGGAAGTGAGTTTCCCATTAAAATATTTCTTAGGTTTTTATTGGTTTGGCCTCTCTCCTTCCTTAAACCAAATAATACTGGCTCTCCGTACCAGGTCGGGGTTCTGTGTCTGACACTGTCCTCTGTGTAGCAGGCCAGCTGCCACAGACGTAGGGTGATAAGTATAACCGTTGGTAAATATTTCGTTGAGATGATTTTGACATTTTCCCTTACCTAGGAGGGGATTCGACTAAGGTGATCAGACGTCCCGCTTTTGGCAGGACAGTCCCGATTTCTAACAATTTGTTCCGCGTCCCACGGCATTTTTAGAAAGTTCCGATTTTTGGAAAGATTCTTTTAAATCTTTTGGACTTTTTTAAAACTCAGCGGGACATGGGACAAATTGTTAAAAAATGGGACTGTCTGGTCACCTTAGACTAGACCTTATTGTGTACAAACCTGTGATTGTCCTAGCTTTAAAAGCACGAAGCGCTACCTGAAAGCATTCCCCAGAAGGAAGCCAAAGAGCCCGGTTTGATAGCTCACTTCTCAGGAAAAGTTCTTCCTTGCTTCCCGTGCAGATGTTAATTTTGTACAGTTGGCTCCGGATGACCTGCAAATCAGTGTTATGGGCAAATAGGAGGTGCTGGTTAATGAAATGGTTCTGGCGGATTGTCCTTGTCCATATGGCACACTCAAAATCGTTCTTCAGAACTCTGTTCAGACATCGGATCTAAAACCAAGTCTTACATGCGCCCTTTCCTTGGAAAAAGCTAACCATTTCTTTTATTCGACATCCACCACAATCAATACCTTTTTGCAACCGTTTAATGATCTTCTGTCACAGTCCAGTGTAATGATATGTTTGCATGTTGCTCTTGTCCACCAGGTCAGAAACTCCCTGGGCATAGAGTGTGACCTGCTTCTCTGTACAGTCTAATCGCCTGGATAAATGCCTGGGGAGAGCGTGTGTGAATGAGTAATAAATGCCTAAATAAGTGCGTGTGTGAATGAGTAATCTGCAAAGAACAAGTGGCATCAGTCAGATAAACTGCATTTTGGGATTGTTTTCTGAGGATTCCTGCAGATACCAAATTTAAAGCTATCACCTTGTCATGACAGATTTCTCTAAAATATTGTTATAGTAAGAATAAATGCTGAAGCCCGAGCCCATTTGGCTTAGTGGGTGGAGTGTCAGTCTGCGGACTGAAGGGTACCAGGTACAATTCCAGTCAAGGGCGTGGATCTTGATTGTAGGCTCCAGCCCTGGCCTTGGTCAGGGCACATGCAGGAGGCAACCAATTGATGTGTCTCACATCGATGTCTCTCTCTCTCTCTCTCTCTCTCTCTCTCTTTCTCTCTCTCTCTCTCTCTCTCCTTCCCCCCACCCCTTCCTCCTTCCCTTCTACTCTCTCTAAAAGTCAATGGAAGAGTATCTTCGGATGAGAATTAACAATAATAACAACAAAAGGAATAAATTGTGCAAAAGATAAGTCCAACATCTTCTGGCAGCTGTGTGTCCCCAGCCTGTGGGACCCCCGATTTAAGGAAGAGAGCTGAAATTCTGCGGAAACCTGCTCTACATTGCCCATTAGCTGCTGTTAAATTCCTTTCCTGGGCTCTTACATTCCACAGAAGGCTTGGCTATCACAGATATTTGAACCATGTATACATGTGATAGAATTCAAACACACAATTCCCAATCTCTAATTCTATAACGTTTGCATTAAAAGAGCCAGAGGACTATCGAATTGAAAGGGACCTCTTCCGTTTCCTGGTTAGGAAGCCAAGCCTCCTGCGGGGCAGTTTTCGTTAGCGGAAGGAGCGCCAGAATTGAAATCAAAGAGGCAGGATTCTGGTCTTGGCTCTGGAGCTCAACTCATAGTCTCCTCCTGGCTGGCTGTGTGGTCATAAGCAGTTCACTTAATATGTTTTGAAGGTCAGTGTTCTCATTTGTAAAGTTCGGTTAAAGACCCCCCTCGGTGAGTTATGACAGGGGATGACCTGTGGGGTGGGGTATAGACTGTGATGCCTGCACAGAGCGAATCCCCAGAGACCGTAGTCTCTGTCCTTCCTGCCCACGTCACACCCTCTGTGACACAGTTGGGACCTAGAGGTATTATTAGGGTACATTGTGGTTCCCAGTTTACAAGACTCCTGCACATCAATGATGCGCTTCACGGATACTCTGACACTTGGCCCAAAGGAGTGTGTCCCACCAGCATATGAATACAAGAGTCAGTTCCTCACCTTAAGAACAAGCTCCCTTCTGAGTTACACGTTTAGCGGCTGTTGTTGTTTTTCTTTATCTTTTTCCCTTTCCTTGCCCTGAGAATCATGGCACCTTCCAGTCAACCATCAACTACAATTGAAGTTTGTGTAATAGTGTGAATTAGAAAGACACACACACACACACACACACACACACACACACACACACATTAATAAAAGTTAATATGCAAATCTACCAAACAGCAGAATGATTGTCTGGACAACCTTCTGGCTGACCACGCTATGACACACACTGGCACCAGGCCAGCCAAAACGGGTGTGATGTGATTGGTTGGGGGGCCCCCCCGTGCCATCACCCCATGAGTGTCCCACAGAGGGAGGCCCAGGCCACCCTCTGCGCAGCGATCAGTCGCAGAGCCCCAGCCGGGTAAGCAGGGCCTCCCTCTTTGGGGCCTAGGCTACGTGACCAGGAGGTGCTGTGGTGGGTGGGTGGGGCCTCCCTCTGTGGGGCGTTCAATCTGGGGGTCCCACAATTGATTGACCCATAGAGGGAGGCACAGGTCACCGGCCAGCAATGCTGTGGAGGGTGTGAGGGGCTGGCCAGTGATCACCCGCAGAGGAAGACCCAGGCCAGCCAAGCAGTCGCACCCCACGCCTGTCCCCCGCAGAGGGAGGCGACCAGTGGCGGGGGTGGGGGGCAGTGCTGCACAATGGCAAGCAGTGGCAGCAGCAGGAGTGGGGCCAGCTGCCTGCAGCCAATAGGAAAGCCTGGATAAGCCCCGATTGTCAGACAGGCCTGGGGACCCTACTCAATGGATTCCGGATTGCAAGAGGGTGCAGGCTGGGCTGAGGGACATTCCTCCAATGCCCGTGTATGAATTTCATGCATAGGGCCTCTAGTATATCCTATATAATAAAGGTGTAATATGCAAATTAACCTTCATGCCCTCACAAGATGGCTGGCTACCATGAGGCTGGCAACGGGATTAGTGAGTGACAACCAAATGACTGAAGAAGCAGGCTTTATGAGGGGACCAGGCCAGCAGGGGGGTTAGTGAGGGATGACCAGGTTGGTGGGGGGAAGGGGGAAGGGGAATTGAGGGCAATTAGGCTAGCAGGGGAGGCAATTGAGGGTGACCAGGCTGACAGGGGGACAGTAAGGGGTTAGTGAGTGACAACCAAATGACTGAAGAAGCAGGCTTTATGAGGGGACCAGGCCGGCAGGGGGGTTAGTGAGGGTTGACCAGGTTGGTGGGGGGGGGGGGGGAATTGGGGGCAATTAGGCTAGCAGGGGAGGCAATTAAGGGTGACCAGGCTGACAGGGGGCAATTAGGAGAGACTTGGCCAGTGGGGGCACCATGAGGGGTGACCAGGCCAGTGGGAAGGAGGGGCAGTTGGGGGTAATTAGGCTGTCAGGGGGGCAGTGAGGGGAGACTAGGCTGGCAGGGGAGGCAGTTGGAGGTGACCAGGCCAGTGGGGGTAGGGTGGAGGGTGGGGGGGCTGTTAGGAGCAACCAGGCGGCATGGAGGGGCCAGTTGGGGGTGACTTGGCTGGCAGTTAGCGGCAACCAGGCAGGCAGGCAGGTGAGCGATTAGGAGCCAGTGGTCCAGGATTGTGAGAGGGATGTCCGACTGCCGGTTTAGACCCAATCCCTAAGCCGGCAGTCGGACATCCCCCAAGGGGTCCTGGATTGGAGAGGGTGTAGGCTAGGCTGAGAGGACACCCCTCTGCATGAATTTCATGCCCCTGCCTCTAGTATGTATATAAGCCTACACAACCATCCGATCAGTAGCGATGACATGCACTACCACCAGGGGTAGACGCTCCAACTGGTTGCTATGATGTACACTCACCACCAGGGGGCGGATGCTCAACACAGAAGCTGCTGCGCTGTGGTGACTTAGTAACTGCGTTTCTCGGGTGACACACCTGGAAGCAGAGAGGAGGGAGCCAGATTCTGGGGTGCATCACCTGAGAATCACCCCCTCACAATCCAGGACCATCGGGGGATGTCAGAGAGCCGGTTTGGGCCCGATCGCTGCAGGCCCAAACCGGCTCTCTGACATCCATTGGAAAAATCTCTGATCTCATTGGAAAAATGAGATCTGTCACCTAACAAATCTTCAGTTTTTTTTGTTTGTTTTTTAAAAAATATATTTTTATTTATTTCAGAGAGGAAAGGAGAGGAAGAGAGAGATAGAAACATCAATGATGAGAGAATCATTGATCAGCTGCCTTCTGCACACCCCCCACCGGGGACCGAGTCTGCCCACTGGGCATGTGCCCTGACTGTAATCGAACCTGGGACCCAACACTCTTATCCACTGAGCCAAACCAGCTAGGGCTAGCCTTCAGTTTTTAAATGTCACATTGTAAAACAGTAAGTTACATATTTGTGTGAAGTGAAGGGTCTGGGCTGGCAGCACGCTGGGGCCCTTTAAGCCTGGCAGTGCTCCCCGTGAACTGCAGCATCACGGAGCTTTAATTGGGGGGCAGCGGTGGTTTCCCTTGGTCATTCTCCCAGAGTCCACTTGTCATTTTTAAAGACAACTTATTTTCCGGTCTTTTTCTTCCCTATAAAGGCAGAAACCTGTGGGTTCTTGTCGTGGGGCGCTCACCAAAGGAGCACAGAATCGGGATTCCAGAGTTCAAGTACGTGGCCAACATGCACGGAGATGAGGTATGTATGGGGCCTGAATAGGTGAGCTGTCACCACAGAAACTCCGCTCAGGTCTTTTGAGCTCTGCCTAAGTGCCAAGAGGCAGCATAAACTACAGCAAAGAACCTGGAAAGGTCTTCCTGTGGGGCCTTCGGAGAGAATTAAGCAGCCGGGGCCCAGCAACCATCGCAGGCATTTGGTTGTGTACCCGGCGTCCTGCGAGAGCTGCTGTTGTGTCGGGTCTGGAAGACCAGCCGTGCCCGGACTCAATTGCCAGCCAAGGCCCTGAGCACCTTCCGGGGTTGACCCGCGCCTCCCCCCCCCCCCCCCCCCCCCCGCCAACCCCATCAGCAACAAGGTGACCCAGCAAAGGAGCTATATTCTGTTTTCAACTCCAAGCAACCCGAAGATCCCAAATCGCCATTCAAACTCATAATATCTGGGTTTTTAAGGCGCTTGTCACTTGCTCTTCATCTAATACTCAAATGTTTTCCATGCTCAAGTTTAGATAATCCAAGTTAGGGTTCTCTCATAGCCACCATTCTACAAACACTCTAAAATTCCATAATGCTCTGTCTCTTTCCCAACTTAGCAGGGATAAACTCTATTTTTATTTTGTTTGTTTTTTGTTGTTATTTATTTCATATTTTGCAAAATATCCCTTTACTACTTCTACCTGCCCTGCCATTCTTGCTAGGCATTTGAAAATGCTCACTGCTATGTCTCGCCCTACATCTCAGAGTATTTTAAGAATGTGACAGCTGGCCCTAGCTGGTTTGGCTCATACTGAAAAGTCCCAGGTTCGATTCCAGTCAAGGGCACATGCCCAGGCTACAGGCTCAATCCCCAATATGGGGCCCACAGGAGGCAGCCTAGCAATGAGTCTCTCTCATCATTGATGTTTCTATCTCTCCCTCCCTTTCTGAAATCAATATAAAATTAATTAATATTTTTTTAAAAAGAACCTGACAACTGTAGTAGTTTTTGTTCGCCAGGACTTCATACAACTAGGCAGTCAGATGGAAGGCAAAGACAGTTTCTAGTCATCACACTCAAGAAAGTTTACGTAGGAATAATGTGTAACACCCTGTAAAGTACACTTAATGTTAAGGAATGTCAAAGTAAGTGCATATCCAGTAAGTGCAACCGGCAGGCTTGTTAAAATACTTCTGAAGTTGCAATCGTGTGGGTGGCACGCTCTCATCGGATGCTGAGCTTCCTGTGGTGGCTCACCCCGCCCCGAACCCGGGCTCATAGGGACAGGACACGTGCACGCACGCAGGCATGCTGCCCAACCTGTCCTGCCCAACGGTCCTTCTCAAATCTGCAGCTAAGATGCAAACATTTGCCTCTAAGAAAGGGGCTGACCTTTGACCCTGCCTTGTAGTTGGATGGAAGGTCATCCCCTCTGTGACTTTTTGAGCATCATGGGCTGTGCTTTAAAAGGCTTAGTATCACTGGGAGTCTGACCAAAGTTGTTTTTAATAAAACAACCATTCATTATAGACAGCAGCTCAGAGTTCCTTTGCCTTTTGCTACCTGGCCTATTGATCAAGGTCCCGTGCAATCCATTTTTCATAAAAAACACATGACACTCATTGGCTTTAGTTGTTAGTTATTACGGAATTCCTGACATTTCAGAGGTTGCAGCCTGTTGATCCAAAATTAATTCTCTGGACCCAGACTTCCAAAGGTAAGCAAGAGTCCTTTCTCTCGCTCACCTCTGACTGTGCTTATTCCTTCCATGCACTTTCCAAAAGTCTGGCATCTTTCTCTGCAGGTAGTCAGTGAACCCCATCAGATCAGGCTCTCCAGGTCACTTTGGTCTGAGGACTGAGATCAGGCAGGGGAAAGTCCCAGGATGTTTTGGGGTGAGGACCTGAGGTCCTGTTACCCGCTATGTGTCCCCACTGGGAACAGTGTTTGCAGGCGCGAGGGGCTATTGAGAACCTTGTTATTCTGACATTGAGATCTTGCCTGTTCGGCCCTTCTGGTGCCACTAGGATCAGGGGGACATGGTGGCTTAACCCAGGAGCAGAGGAGTCACTTGAGGTTGAGGTCTATCACTTGACTCATCCTTCTTCTCCCAGATCTTTTGTAATTGAAAGAACATTTCAAAACCCACTATTAAAAAGCACCATAGCTGGGACAGGTTTGGCTCAGTGGATAGAGCGTCAGCCTGTGGACTGAAAGGTCCCGGGTTCGATTCCGGTCAGGGGCATGTACCTTGGTTGCGGGCACATCCCCAATGGGGGGTGTGCAGGAGGTGGCTGGTCAGTGTTTCTCTCTCATCGATGTTTCTAACTCTCTGTCCCTCTCAATTCCTCTCTGTGTAAAATCAATAAAATATATTTAAAAAAAAAAAAAAAAGCACCGTAATTCGCATCTTAGGGCAGTGGTCCCTAACCTTCTTTGGATGGAGTCTTACTCTTCTGCACAGACTGTGAATGCTGACCTTGGGGATTGTGCTTCTCCAGGGAGTGGTGGGCCCCGTGTGGAGACCCCAGCAGGGGCACATGTGCACGGAGTAGTGTGGTGGACAGAACTAACCTCATTGTTATAAAATGTTTCCTCTTGCCTGGCTGGTGTGGCTCAGTAGTTGAGTGCCAACGTATGAACCAGGAGGTCCATCAATTCCTGATCAGGGCACATGCCCAGGTTGTGGGCTCGATCCCCAATCTGGGGCATGCAGGAGGCAGCCAATCAGTGATTCTCATTGTTGATGTTTCTATCTCCCTCCCTCCCTCCCTTCCTCTCTGAAATCAATAAAAATATTTTTAAAAAGAAAAAATAAATAAAACGTTTCCTCTTTTCCCTGGACCACCACCCTGTGTGTGTGTTTCCACACAAATGCCATCCTACATGACAGCGGCATCAGCAGCATCAGGAAGATTCAATTCTGTTCACCAGACCTGCCATGAATTTTTACCTTACTTCATTTTGCCTTGTTTTAGAGTCTGATCATTTTTAAATTAAAGATAAGCTATTATTACAAAACCAACATATGTGCACATTAGAAAAAATACAGATATGCAGGAAGGTAATGGGGGGAGATGAGGACAAATATGTAGTACCTTATCCAATAAAGAAATTAAAATGCAAAAAAAAAAAAAAAATACAGATAAGCTAACACACCTTGTATACTGGCCTTCCAAAAAGTAGGACTGTTAATTCCTTACTATTTATGGTTCCAGATATTTGCATGTGCGTTTATGTGCTTATACGCTCACCAAATGAACTACACTAATTTGCTATTTATAATATTTTAAGTTAACACTAAATCTCACTTCATGTCTCTAAACCTTAATTCTATCTTTTCCTTATACTCCACTTTGTAGTTCCTCCAATTTTCCTCAGAACGTCCCCCAAATGGCCCAGATGAGAATCAAGTCTGAGACCACGCATCACATTTGGTTGATGTATCCCTTGAATCTCTTTTAACCTAGGATTTAAAGAATCTGTTCATGACATTAGATTAAATAAGAGCTAATCAGTTGTCCGCCCTGCAGAATGTCCCACATTCGGAATATTTTGTTTCCTTCCTTATTGTAGTATTGCATTAGTACATATGGTTCCTCTAGTTATCTCAAACGAAAAGTTAGATCTAAAGGTTTATTGAATTTAGGTGAAATATACTTGGCATATCTTAGGAATTGTGAAGATGGTTTTTTGGTTTTTTGTTTTTTTGGCTGATTCTGAGGGTTCCGGCTAATTAGCCTGGCTACGCTCAGGAATGCAGAAAGCAAAAAAAAAAAAAAAAAATCAACTCATGCCGAAACCGGTTTGGCTCAGTGGATAGAGTGTCAGCCTGCGGACTGAAAGGTCCCAGGTTCGATTCCGGTCAAGGGCATGTACCTTGGTTGCGGGCACATCCCCAGTGGGAGGTGTGCAAGAGGCAGCTGATTGATGATTCTCTCTCATCGATGTTTCTAACTCTCTATCCCTCTCTCTTCCTCTCTGTAAAAAAATCAATAAAATATATTGTTAAAAAAAATCACTTCAAAGTGGCCCATGTCCAAGCAAGTATTGTAACAGAAGCAGTGACGTTAAATCTGCTCTTGTATGATACTTGCCTCAGTCACCTTGCCGTTGGCTCATACCCTTTTGATGGCACTGGCTCACTATGCCACCCTGAGCAGCCTGGCAAGTCAGCTTCTGTACCTGCTTTACAGGACAGTATAGAAGCATGGGGCTTTGTGGGTGTCGCTTCTTTTGCTCACCTCTGCAGGAGGCGTGTTTGTTAGCACATTTACCAGGAACCAAGTTCAGGTGTGTGTCTGGTCATAAGCTGTCTGAACCCAGAGCCAGAGCCCTGAGCTCTGCCTCCTTTACTCTCTCTGCTGCTTTCAGAACGTTCTGTTTCTGTTGTCTTTATTTTCACGTGTAGGTCTAGGGTTTACTTTTCCATAGAGACCAAATTAATTTTGTTTGCACAGATACCTAGCTGTTTCAGTGCCATCTGACAAGATGTGGGCTAGCAAGCTCAGAGAACACTGGAATCAACCTCTCCCAGTCACCCCTCTCTGTCCCTTTCTTTCACTGATGGATTGATTTCAGAGAGGAAAGGAGAGGGAAAGAGACATCAATAATGAGAGAGAATCGCCGGGACCGGTTTGGCTCAATGGATAGAGCATTGGCTTGGGGACTGAAAGGTCCTGGGTTAGATTCCGGTCAAGGGCATGTACCTTGTTTGCGGGCATATCCCCAGTAGGGAATGTGCAAGAGGCAGCTTATGTGGTCGATGACTCTCATCGATGTTTCTATCTCTCTCCATTCCTCTCTGTACAAAATCAATAAAATAAAAAATAAAATAAAATAAAGTGAATAATGAGAGAGAATCATGGATCGGCTGCCCCCTGCATGCCCCACACTGGGGATTGAGCTTGCAACCCAGACATGTGCCCTGACCAGGAATCCAACTGTGGCCTCCTGGTCAACACAACCTCTGAGCCACGCCAGCCAGGCTGTCTGCCCCTTTCTTCCCCCACTCCGGACCCCCAGCCCTGACTGCAGCGAAGTCA